TTACAATTCACATCGGAGACTGTGTGATGTAACTCCACGAAGTGTGGACACTATCATTTGTAGGGGTGCGAGCCCTCCAACGAGGGGCCAAGCACACTCTCTGATGGCCAAATTCAGAGACAGGCACATTCTTCATGTGTGACCCCACAGCGGCCATTCACAATGACTACCACACAGATAGGGTTATTAGTAGTTTAGTATTAGTATTAGTATTAATATTAGTATTAGTATTCGTAGTTTAAAAACTCAAGCAAGGTGCATTAAGATTTAAGGAAACCAAATGTAACTAGAGGGACGATGGTGAAGACATCTTTTTCTTTTTTTAAAGATTTTATTTATTTATTTGACAGAGATTACAAGTAGGCAGAGAGGCAGGCAGAGAGAGAGGAGGAAGCAGGCTCCCCGCTGAGCAGAGAGCCCAATGTGGGGCTCGATCTCAGGACCCTGGGACCGTGACCCAAGCCGAAGGCAGAGGCTTTAAACCACTAAGCCACCCAGGTGCCCCAAGATTTTATTTATTTATTTATTTATTTATTTATTTGTCAGAGAAAGAGTGCGCACAAACAGGCAGAGAGGCAGGCAGAGGCAGAGAGAGAAGGAGGCTCCCCACTGAGCAAGGAGCCTGATGCAGGACTCGGTCCCAAGACCTTGGGATCATGACCTGAGCAGAAGGCAGACGCTTAACCCACTGAGCCACCCCGGCGCCCCGGTGAAGACATCTTTTGACCCCTGGATCACCAGAGGTGTCTTACCGAGACCTACCAGCGTTCCCACTGTATGATCTGCTTTCCAATCATGTATTCATATCCAGCTTATCAGAACAACATCTAGTGACTAAAGCGAGTTATACCACACTTCGTAGGGACGTCACACATCTTCACAAAAGAAAGTCTCTGAGGCACCCACAGGGGCCCAATGACCTAGAGAGATGGCAAGAGGAGCAGAAAAGACACCGCCTCACGGCTAGCATCACCAACCACCTGAGGCCACGGGGACAGAAAAGATCAGTGGCTCCACAAAATAACAACAGAATCAAGACACTTTCCAGGTACCCCTCATGAAGTCACAAGTGTCTAAGATTTTTTTAAAAAGGGGGGAAAAAAGCAAACGTATAAGTCCAAAATGCGAGCAACAAAAAAAGAAAGGCCTGTTCTAATTTACTCTCTTCTGACAACATCCTGTTTTAATCACTCTGCAAATGCTGTAGCCATTAGGCAAATTAACACAAAATCTCAGATCAAAGTGCCATTCGCAGGTAGACACTTACATAACATTAGGAGGCATGAAGGTGAACAGGTGTTATGAACAACTTCTTTGAATGTTTTTAATGCATCCACTAATAGAACCTTCTGAAGAGGTGAAAAAAACATTCTCGAACACAAATTGAAAATTAAAGGCAGGTTGATGGTACCTCAAAATGAAACACGTCAAGTGAGAAAATTAGAAGCATAATGTCTCTGTACTTCTGAAAACCTTTGCTGTGAGGGCACACAGTAGGAGCATGTCTGTGTGTATATATACATTGGATTCTGCCCATGCGTCTGCAAAGTGAAAGGGGCTGACATTCGTAAGTGGTGACTCAGAAGACAACACAGAAAGAAGACGCACCCAGACTCAGAGATGAACTCATGTAAACACATGCCCTGGGCCTTAGGCAAGCAAACAGGGTATTTCCTGTTATATGGCAACGAGGTCCTGAGAAGTTATATGTAACATTTTAAAACCGAGTTTTGTTACAGTCTTCGGGTAACACACTGTTTAAGAGAAGTCCGTAGTCAGGTATTTCTGAAAATAAATGAGCCCATCCTTTACCATATCTGGTAACTATAGTTTGTTGTTGTTGTTTTTTTAATTACCAGATACAACCCACATTATTTACAGTAAAAAAATTTTTTTTTCCAAGACATATTATAATATTGTATAAATGAGTGCTTCTAAACAAGGGATGATTACGCCCCCCCAGGGGGGCACCTGGCGATGTCTGGAGACATTTCCGGCTGTCCCAGCGGAGTAACAGGGATGCTGGCTACTATGGTAAGGAACAGAGATTCAGCTCAACATTGTACAGCACACAGCACAGCCCCAAAGCGAAGAATTTTCCGGCCGAAAAACTCTAGAGTGCAGAAAGTCGGAAACCATGATATAGATTATCACCAACACTGCAAAATTCCTCAAGTCATGTCCCTAAAAGGCTTTTAGGAAATAAAAAATGAGAAAAGCTGAAAAACGTAAAAGGGAACTCTTTTCAGTAGCGTGATTATTGGAACATATAGCTGCTGTGGGGGGACGCCACGATATATGACTTCACCTGAAATGAACCCAGCAGCCATACTCACATTCCAGCCCTCCACCAACAAATGCTGGGAAATCATCAAGGATCTGACGGGAAAAAAAAAAAACCCAAAAAACAAAAAACAAAACCACCCCAAGACATCCTTTAGTGAACAGAGGAGTATCCTGAAGGACTGCGTTAAAATCAAATAAAGTAAGATATAACAAAAGCGAACTTTGTAGCCAGTGAAAAATAAACACGTCTGGTACTCAGAGTCCTACATGTGGGTATCCATCCAATTCTATAGCATCAGAGCTCTGATGCCCCGTAATATAATAATATTATTTTTGAGATCAGTTAAGGTATAAAATGTGCGTCCTCTCAGTCTTTAATATTAATAAGTCTTGTAACTAGCAGTTTCTCATAGCTCCGAATTCTTGAGCACAACTAGAAAGGGCACTTATCCTGAAAAATCTAATAAATTTACAGTTTTATATACTTCCTTCAATTGTAAAAGTCTTGTTCAATAAACTTTAAAATGCCACTATAGAGCAATAACACAGACAGTATAAACCCAGCCCTGGGAAAGCTGTGCAACCAGAAATTGTTCCCCTTTCTGCTAGAGCAATAAAGTTTTATATGTTTGAACTGACTGTAAAAAGGTTTGAATGTTGGCAACTGGGGAATAATCTGTCTTCTTTATAGTTATTATCATATTTCCCACAAGACCCCTTGGTCTGTGTCAATCTTTCTTGTATATGACACCTTTGTACTGTCAGCGAAAGCAAGACTACTTTACTTTTTTTTTTTTAACTATAGGACTTGTATCTGTTTTCCTTCAGATTACAGCTAACAGGAATAAATTATTTCTGACAAGCATCTATTGCAGCGTTTTACCAAATAAAGCTGGTTGTGAGCTGCTTTTCCAAGAGCGAGGGGGGGAGCCTCCTCCCCTTCTCTCTTGCTCTCAACTGATTCAAATGCAATTCAGGGATGGTTAAATTGGAGGAAATGCCAATAAAAAGAGATTTGTAGGAAAGTTGCTCTGAATGCCAGAGCCCACTGTAACAAGCTGATTGGGTCCGCGTGGGTGCCGTTGGATCTGTGTGGAGAAGAGGGTCAGGAAAGGTCAGAGGACGAACCAATCCTTTTCCTTCCCAACCTGTCTCGGGTCTGAGAGTATCTGTGCTTCTCGGTTCAGAAAGGAAGCCGACTCCGGCCAGCTTGGGCTCTTGGCTAACAGGTCATCTCCGCTGGAATGAGTTTAGGCACATGATAATCAGCAGAGTCACTGTGTGTGTGTACGTGTCTGGGTGTCTGTATCTGTATGTCTGTGTTTCTGTATCTGGGTGTCTCTGTGTCTATGTATGTGTGTCTCTTTGTCCATATGTCTGTATCTGAACGTCTACGTGTCCATATGTGTTTAGTTTTGTGTGTGTCTGTCTGTACGTGGGTGTCTGTCTGTCTGTAGTTCTGTGTATGTGCATCTGTATGTCCCTATCTGGGTGTCTTGTGTGTGTGTCTGTATCTGACTGTCTGTCTGTCTGTCTGTATCTGAATGCCTGTGTGTCTGTGTGGGTCTGTCTGGGTGTCTGTGTGTCTCTGTATCTATCTGTATGTGTGTACCTGAGTGCCCGTGGGTCTATGTCTGTGTCTGTATGTCTATATGTCTGTCTGTCTCTCTGTATCTGGATGCCTGTATGTCTATGTGTGTCTGTTTCCATGTGTGTGTCTAGATGTCTGTGTGTGTGTCTGTGTCCTAGTGTCTGTGTGTCTACATATGTGTCCGGATGTCTGTGTGCGTCCTTCTCTCTCCCTCCCCCCGTCCCACCACTGAAGCTCAACTCCAGTGATACAAAGCTACACCAAGGAATCCAGTGCATGCACAATCCAGCTGTCCTGACACATCTCCTGCCCCACGTCTACACCACCACCCTGAAGTCCCCTGCCTTCCCACATTTACGATCACACAGAGGGAAAGGTCAGAGAGGAATAAGGATCTTTGCGAACACCAAGTTTTAAAAAATCAGAAGCATTATACAGTTGGACATCAGCAAACTAGCGCAGTAAGTTAATCACCTCTGCACTCTGGTGAAGACGACGTTCCTCCAAGAGACCCCGAGGACAGGACGGCCAGTCACTTAACACAGGTGCATACATACTCACATACACACACACGACATACAGCCACGTGAGTGCACACACACTCAAACACCCCTCCACCCACTCTAAAGGAAGAGCACACTGAAGTACGGACATTCTGGCGAAGAAGGGTCAGCGCCCCACGGCACCTACGGGTACCGCGACGCTGCCGGGAGGAGGCCGTGCACACGATGCTCAGTAAACACAACCACATCTCCGGGATCCTGGAAAAAGCTGGAGCTCGTGAGCACCTTCACGTCGGCGAACGCGAGTCCAGAACACCCTCTTACTTTCCCCTCGTGCTCCCCGTCTCCACGAATGTTCCAGCAACACTAGCACGGGCTTCCCTGGTCCAGCTCAAACCGCAGCCATTCTTACCCGTGTACAATAAATAGATACTACAAGCATCAGGACAGAAGCCACTTCAGACTAGCGGGAGGCACCGGGAGGTACTGGGAGCACCAAGCTCCTTCCTATAAGGTCAAAAGTTCTTGTGTTGGGGTTGTATGTCATAGGGGCATTCATAAAAGGACAAGAGCTGCTCTTTTTGAACCTGGGCCATATACCACACGTGCAGAGCTCCGTGAAGCAAGATAAACGCCTTACGCATGCGCGCGCCATCCTTGGGCAGGACCCATGCTCATCTCCTCCGTGTTGTTCTCACTTGTTACATGTTCTGGGAAGCGAGCACGCAGGCTGCGCTGAAAATGCTCTCGCTGGGTGGCAGACCGTCAGCTTCCGGACCGGGAAGCAAGCCGCCCCCATGGTGTAAGGGGAGAGGGGTGGAGGTAGAGGTGTTTCCCAAAGGTATGACCACAGACATCTACCTGATGGGAGGTATTTGTGAAAAGCAGATTCCTAGGCCAGAGGGCAAACCTGCGGGTGCGGGGCCTGGGACTCTGCATCTTATAAGTAGCTCGGATTATTTGGAGGCTGACCGGTCTTGCAATTCCCACCGAATCGCGTCCCTCTTTTGCAATACAGAGCACCTCAGTACGCACACTTCTGAGATAATGGGCGGGGGATGGGGGATGGGCAGCACCCTGAACTATGCCTTTTGAGCCAAAAAAGAAAGCGATGGAGCACAATATCTGATCAACAAGGGAAAAGGACCGGCATGGAAGCTTCACCTCGTCCTGCCTTTCCCCTGCACTCTGGTTTCCCTACCCTCCCATCTTCTGCATCCTAGTGGGGTCTGGCTGCAGATGGCCCAAGTCTTCTGAAAAGGCCTGAAGTTGGATCTCCCCTCTTCCTTCATTACTGTCCTTCTTGCACAGGTCAAACAAACCCAGGGGTTTGTACCTCACTGGGTCCAAAAACAGGGCCTCCTTCAAGAATGCAAAGGGAGCTGGCTATTATAGGGACCTATTTGAAGAGGGTATTCTGGGACCACAGAGGCACTCAGGAAGACACCATGAGAGGCTCCAGCCTTTAAAACAAGCAAGGGGCAGAAGGAGCCCACCAGCCCAAGGTAGACTCAGAGAGGGTCTGGTGGTGGTGGCCCTCAGCTTACAGATGCTATCCAGATATGATCACAGGCGGAACTCTCTCAAAATACAAATGAACCAAAAAGGCAGACCAGCAGGCATTGGGCATTATGGCCACTATTCGTGCTTCTCCACAAGCACAATCACCCCCGATGCCATGACTGCTGTAACTCACAAGGTCTGTTGTCTGGCAGGTGTCAGGTGCTGGTCTAAACCCTTCAGATACACCAGCACATTTCATCCTCAGAGCTACTCCTACTGTAATGCACCAACGATATCATTTACCAAGAGACAAGGTCCTGCCACCATTTGCGACTATTTTCACCTCCACCTGGCATCCATTCCTGTCCCCTTCAAGGCTGGATATTAGGGTGTCTGAGTGTACAGAGTAGACAAGGGCAGGAAGAGTACCTTTCTGTTAAAAACTGTCAATAACCAAAAACAAAACAAAACAAAACAAAACCAAAAACCAAAACAACAACAACAACAAAAAACTGTCAATAACCTGAAGAAGTAGCAAGAGAGGTTATATACAAAGTGCCCTGGGTCAGCAAAAGATACCTCAGATAACACTTCTTTCTAGAAGGAACTGGGAGTCTAGTGAGGAGACTGGAAATAGGCAGAAGAAGGCTATCTATGACAAGTCAACAGAGGACAGGATAGTGTAATGTTCATCACAGGAAAAGAACATACATATACAGGACACACCCCTTTTCTCGGGAAACCTTTAAGATCCTTCATAAGACAAGACAGTCTCATGGGAAACAATCAGAGGAACACCAGAAACCGTAAGGAGCCAACTGTTGCACAGAGTTGTACCAATCTGAGGAATCAAGAGAAAGGAAAATTCACTCCAGGCTGCGGTTGTTGAGAAAAGTACAAAGCAACAGAGTATGAAGGACAGACAGAGACCGGATATACACCGGGACAAACAGGAGAAAGCACCGCAGGAGGGGCCGTGGAGAACAAGGCTTCCCACCTGCCTGGCAGGACCCAGGAGTGAGGACGGGATCCAGAGAAAGGGAAGCGGGAAGGTCAGACTGGCCCCTCACCTCGCCAGTGGTCGCCCTATGGCAGCCCGAGACCAGGAGCAGAGTCCAGACCGTGGTCAACCATGCCAGCCAACCTAAGCCCTTCTGCTCCTGTGAAACTACTAAGGACCTTCGAAATAAAAATGACAATAAAAGAAAAAAAAAAAAAAACCAGAATGTGGACCATCTTATCATCACGGTAAGGACAGGGCCTTTAGTGGCAGAGTCTCATGGGTCGCAGTTAGATCTCAGAGGACGAGCTGGGCTGAGGAACATCTTACATGGGAGAGCTCCAGGGGAAAACACAACAGCTGAGGGAGGGGGTCTGTGCTCCAGCAGGAAGTGCTTTGCAAGCCAGATCAAGGCCAATGACGGACATTGGCTAGGAGTCCTTCTCACTCCAAAATTCAGTGGTTCTGCGAAATTTTGAGCAGGAGGGGAGGAATGCCCCAGCTCGAGGGTGGCAGTGGTCCCCTGGATCCCCCTGTCCCAGTGCCAACAATATAAACAGCCCACCAGGGCAGTGTCCTTGACCTAGTGACTGCCGCTTTATCATCAGCCGAGAAAAGCACTGCTTGGGGTGAAAGCTTGTGCAGCTGCTGGCTTGAAAACATTATTTCTTGGGTGAAGTTCTCCACCTTATCACTTAATGCATGTTTACTGTTCTGTTACTAACAACAGAAATAATGGTAACACTTTGGTATTTGCACAATGTTTTATGGTCTGCCAATACTTTCATAAGCGTGATTATGTTTACTCCTGATAATAAATGTATCCATAGTATAGATGAAGAAACTGACAGCCAGAGACAACATGACTCACTCAGGGCCACCCAGCAGGTAGAGGGGAGCCCTATCAGCGGAGTCCTCATAATTTACCAAATGCTCGTCATACACAGGACACAAGGCTGGCCACGACTGGGATGCAAATGCCGGTAGGAAAAGGCACGGGAACTCAGTGCAAAGGACAAGCACCTTGCTCATGGAACCCGAACACCTCTCAATTCACTCCCCTCCATTTGTCTGGTGGGGTCCCTCCCATCGTCCCATCTGAGGCAGGGTCCCCACCTGACTCGCTCACCTTCTAGCAGGCACCGTGCTTGACAAGGAGTGATAAAGATGACCCTCTCTACCCCTCTCCTCCTCCCCAACCTCACAGCAAAGCCAGCACCTTCCAGTCAATGCACAACCGGCTAGCAGCTGGCTTCATAAAGCAGCGGGGCATCTTCGGGGGGTCACCCAGGGAGCCAAGCACCACGAATTTCCTTCTCTCCCAAAGTAATCCAAATGCGCCTTCCTCGTAGGTCTGCAGTGGAGAAACCAGCACAGCCCCCCAGCTCCCCTCCCCCCACCCCTGCAATCAGGGCCCGTTGGCGTGATGTGGGGATCCCGAGCCCCCCCCACCCCGGGGGCTGCTGAGGCTCTCGGATGTGCAGGCGGCTTCTCCAGAGTCATTAAGAACACGCTGGTCTCTGCTGCTCCGAGCCCGCCGGCTCCCCCACCTGAAGAAAAGCCATCCACGTGCTCCCGCAGAGGGACCCACGAGAAGCCCCGGAACCCACAAAGGGAAGCCAGCGTGCCAAGGGTTAAGCACACCCTGTAATAAGCATCTCTGTTCCGGCATGTTGCGAAAGCCCATTACCTCCCGCCACATTACCTCATTCATTTCTTATATGCGGATGGTTTATTTTCCCATGAGCACCCTGGCTCTCAGTATTAAGTCCCCTCCTTCGCCTCTATTTCTCTATCCATCACATTTAACACTCTGACAGTAACAGTCTATAATGTTTCTATTCTACAAAACCGCTCTGTCAACTCCGGGCTTCCAGAGCAGCAACTGAGGAAAATAAATAACATCAACGCCAGGGACGACAGCATCACAGCTCCCTTTCTGCTGCGCTTTTTTATTTTATAGGATTCTACAAAGGGCGAGAAGGAAAACAACAACAACAACAACAACAAAAAAAACCTAAAACACAAAAAAACAAAAACAAAGGGGCTGGGAGAGGTAGAAGCCAAGAAGAGAAGAATTTCCTTCTCATCCAACAGACACCTCACAGACCTGAAGGGACAGTCCCAGCACCTCTGTGCAGACAAAGAAGTGATTTCCCCTCTCTCCTCCCGAAATCCCTGACCGGCCCCCTTCCATTTCCATGGTGGGTCACGGGAGGACTGAGGTTTTCGGCACTGCGCTCCCTCGACCTGCCGCCGACCACAGAGGCAGATGACACAGAACCAAGACAACGCACACATTTCTGTCATCTTTTCTGGAGCAGGCGGGCGGCCGTGGGGGGTGGGGGGAGGGGGGCGGAGGCAGTCCCATGGCCCTCAACCTTTGTTCTGGGGGAGACACCCCGGGACCAGCAACTCTGGAACCCAAGAACAGGCAGGAAGGTGAGGAAGCATTAAACCACCAAGAAACAAATCATTCTGGAGCACTGCCTTGACTCCACGTGCTGGGGGGTTACCAAAACCGTGTTTATTTTCATCATTCTAGATTTATTTATTTTAAATCACTTAAAATCATGTTATATTTCCATCTAGCCTCTTTAAAAGATATCCAGATAGATAAGTAGATGGATAATCTTGAACATAAGTTGGCTTCTTCTGCATAACCCGAATCGCCAACCATCACGAATGCCAGTTACCCTCAGACCCACTGCTAGGTGGGAGTCAGTCTGTCTGTCTGTCGTTTACTTCATCTGCTGGCCTGTGTAGGTTCTCCCCGCTCCTCTGCACGGTTTCGCCGCCTCCTGGAGTTGCCTCTTCTCCAGAGGCGTGTCGCAGTGAAGACCAGGGCTGTGGTACCAGATCGCGGAGGCCAAACCTGACTCTGGGCTACAGAACCTTCTTTCTGAGCCCCTCCATGCTGTGTCCTCGCCTGGGAAATGGGGACAAACATGTCACCCAGCTCCCAGGGAGGTGGTGAGGATTACCTGCATTAGTACCTGGGAGTGTTTGAGATCTACGATCAACTGTGCTCTGTAAATGTTAGTGATTACCATTCCATTCATATATTCCAGCAGGAGCTGGAAGACCGGACCACCATAGTTGGAATCACGTCCGAACTAAGATCTAAGATGTTTGGGGGGGGCGGTCTTCGGGCACTCTTGATGAGCCAGCTGCACGGTCCAAAATGCACGGTACCGTCCAATATTGTTTTTATCAACAGGA